CCCCCCCGAATTTGCAGGGTTTTTAAAAATTGCTATGTACTGTGACGCCTCCAGTAATAAACAACTTATTTTGGTTTGCTCCCCCACCCCTCTGAAAAAGAAACGTAAATGACGCCCCTGCCTACCTCCCCTCGAGTTCTCATTCTGGGTCAATTACTCTGATTCGACCTTACACGTCAGGGTGAGGGAGATGCGTTAAAAATTGACGGAATGTCACGTGTCAGTCATGTAACAACAAAGTTTGACACAACAAACTAATTCTGTTTTTTTTATTTTTAAATAGAATTATTATTATTTTTTTCTTACCTTCATTTGCCATTTAATTTTATCAGACAAGTCTTGAATGCATCTTTCCACTGATTTATCTGCAAAATAGATTTTTTAATGACTTCTTTTTGAAATTCGGGCCGAAAAATTGTTGGAACGATAAAATAGCATGAGTTTTTTAAGGTGGTTTCGGGATTAGTTTTTGTGGATTCTTGTTTTTAGCAATAATTTGGAAAACCAAGTAACTTGTCTCTTGGGCTTTCTTAGTTGTCTTCATTCTTTTTGCTAAATGACACAGACTTCTGTATTGATTTTGTAAGCTCTGTTCCAGATTTTTGTGATCTTTTTAGTATTTTTTATTTATTAAAAAAAAAAAAAAAAAAATTAAGTGGCTTCTTTTTTTTTTTTTAAAAAAAAAAAAAATGGGCTTTCTTAGTTTTTTTTATTTTTTTTTCTAAATGACACAGACTTTTGTATTGATTTTGTAAGCTCTGTTCCAGATTTTTGTGATCTTTTTTGTATTTTTTATTTATTAAAAAAAAAAAAAAAAAAATTAAGTGGCTTCATTGCTTAGTTTAAAAAAAAAAAAAACAGATTTCATCTGCAATTTTAATTCCTCCAATTTAAAACTGGCAATGGGGATAAGGATTGTTTTAGCCACCAGAAATTTTGAACCCCAGCTTCAAAGCTTTCTATTGCATAAACGAATATTTGAAACTTTTCCTTTGCTCTATTTCCCACTAACACAGTTGATGCGTACGTAGTTTCCTGCAGGCCTACTGCTAATATATTTTTTTCATCCCAGAAGTCATCTGCACCAGCTTTTCTTTCCTCACCTAGAAACGCATTCAGAATTCACTTTACTCCCCAATTTAGCTCCCATTTTATTATAAAATAAAACATCGAATTTACAAATAAAATTTAAGTTTTAACAATATCTAAAAAATCAAAATCTTTGCACCGGCAATGATAACGAGTCAGAATATTTGCTTTTCCCCCCATCTAGTTAAGCCAGTGTAACTGGTACAAGGTGCCAAGTTTAAGACAAACAGGAGAGTAAAATGCATTTAAAAGGCAAAACCATTTAAATGCACAGAACAAATTTGGATTTACACTTAAATTAATTTTCTCTAAAATTTCTATTATGACAACTGGTGTGTTTCTAAACATGAAAATATGGGATACTTCATAGAAATGCGTGATCCAAATGTCTGAGTGGCTCATTTGATGTCTAAATAATGCACGAATGTCTATATTGGCATTGCAAATTTTTTGCGCAACACCTTCACCCTGCAGGCGACACACTAATGTGACGCGACACAGTTTCGAAAGAACTGGCCTAGGCAGGGGCGTGCGGGGTTCTGCACTGCACGCAACACCAGCCTTATGTAAACTTTCGCCCTGTGCGAAGCACCCGTTCGGCGCCCCTTCCCTGTCCCTGTATGGCTTCGCTCTTTTTCCGATTACGACGCAGGCTATGGAGCATGAGTACTTTTTCTGCTTTGCGCTTGCGATTTTGCGCCCTGGAAAGCTATTTGTTCCCCACATTCTTCCTGCTGAAATAATTAGAGGGACAAGGAAGTACGGTATCAATAACTTAATTTACACGCCCTTTCGGTTGGTCCCAACGCCAGTGTTAGTATCCAAATTAAAAATAAGAATAAATCTTTCATTGCATGAAAAGCGATTGTACGAAAAGTTAGAATACCGTTTCTCGATCCCGGATCCAAAGTTCACACTAAATTATAATAAACTAAGGGAATTTAAAGATTTACTGGGCGCCCCTATGCACGTGGTATAAATATTATGTTCATAACTTGACAAAAGCCTAAATTAGTAAATTAATATTTACTAAGTATACAACCATCATGTCAAGATCCTAAAAGTAATAGTGAAAATGATAAATGTTAAAATTAAAGTTGAGGTGTCTACTGGCTACTGAGTGTGCAGAAGTATGTTATTTACAATTATTGATATTATTATTATTTTGGTAGAGTCGCAGCTTCAAATAATTATTTTAAGAGAAAATTACTTTTAAAAAGGAGTATTTTGAGGTGTCACGAATCTTTTCATTTTATTTATTTTAAAGATGTTGTTTTGTTAAAACGTAGCTAATGTTGATTCAATAATTTTCCAGTCCAAACTTAACAAATGCCCCGGCGCACTGACGTCATCTCCACGTCGATAGATACGGATTGAAAAATTGGTAAACAAAATACAAGTTGTAACAATCTTACTATAGATAGATGTGGAAAATGAGTTGCTAGTTTCCGTGTTGCTTTACAAACATTGATATTTTCCTGAAATTGGATATTAAACATGTGTGGTGCTTATTAAAATATAGAAAGATTGTCTTGTCTTTCTTTGTTCAAAGTTACCTGTTTTCGATATAAATAAGAAAAGCACTGCCTCTGTACACACTATCACTTGAAAGTTTAAATTATGAAGCAGACTACACGATTACTAATACTATTTAATCGAATCTTTTATAAATAATTCTGATTGCTCTGGTAAATGGTCTTAATTGGTGTTTAGTTGTGACACTTTTCAACACTGATTTATAGTAGGCCAATATTTTTTTTTTTGAGTTTGAGACAAACTTTGTCTTAGTCCTAAGAGTCCTAGACTATCCTCACTAGGTCTAGAAGTAGAAGAAGTCTACAACTCGACAGAATTTTAGGCTTGGACCTAAAATAGTGGTTCTGATAAAATACTTATAATTAGAATATCATCTGCTTAATTAACAAGCCAATGAGATGACTTAGTTATTAGTTTGTCAATTTAAAAATTTCAAAAAGAACGCAAAGTAAATAAAATAAAACACATTTGTTTCAACTTATCCAAAGTTAACTTTACAATTGTTAATTGCAGCACAGTGTCATTTTGACACAGTATCAGCATGACTAGAGAAAATAGACTTAAGTTCATCCATTTTTAAAAATGGTATGACTTAATGCTTGTCCCTCCCAATAAAACACTATTATCAGTCACTGCAGAACCTGCCTAAGCATGCAGTGGTTTAGGGATTAAAGGATGGTACCCACTAGAATTTTAGAAGGCATACAGAAATCTTCTTAGCTTTGTTCTGTCATTATTAGTAATATTAGTAATAGCACAATGTTCAGTAATGTCGGAGTTTGGTACCCCACACAGAAAAGAACACTGCCAAAATAACTCCTACTTCAGTAGGCTAGACAAAAAGGTCATGAACTGCCGGTATTACACACTGGCCCCAGAAATGGTTATACAACTGCTTAATCTTGTGCCTAAAATGTTGTACACTACAGCGTAACTGTTGTATTAGCCTGGGTCTTAATTAAAGAGCAAAAGCTCAGGACCCCTTCCAGAATATTATTTTAGTTTAATAAAGTCAAATTGTCATTACTGCAGTACTCACTTTGTATTTTTTAAAACATAAATTCAATCACTCTTTGTTAAAATAAAGGCCAGAGTTGAAAAAGAAAATTAAAATACTATAATAGATAAAATTCATACATTTGTGTTGTATAAAAGGAGTAAAACAAAGTAGGGTTAAACCTGAAAAAAAGGAACGCAACAAAACAACAAACGTGTCGGCAGAAAGCCTTCATCGGCGAACAAAACAACAGAAAAAACGGTATAAAAATAAGAAATAGCACTTAGCTTAGACGTAGTATCCGTGAGCAGGAAAAGAAATGTCACATTTTTTATTGTTTACCTTCATGATCACGATCTTTATGTACCGGTACATAAATTACTGAAGTTCAGTAGTTTTTTGTTATTGACCTTATTATTTTTGAAGACCTTTCAAAGCCTAATTTTTTTCAGTAAAAATAAATTGGAAAGAATATATTACAAATTGTAAATTTTGGGATAGATACTCAGATCCATACATATTCATACTGACTATAGTCTTGTTTATTTTTTATCTAAACACATATACAATATATAAATATATCACTTATCATGTGTTCAATCTTCCATCTCTTTCGATACTCAGTGCAGCTGACCAAACACAATGACAGATGTCAGAAACTCAGCTGGGTCCACCCCAATCCCGCCAGATGATGACAACTTTGAGAGGGATCTCCAGGAAATGTTGGAAGATGGCCCCAGTTTGAACGAGGTCACATCAAATGTCCAAGGTGGAACACCAAACTCTGTTTCAGCCACATTTGCAGAAAAAGTTGGCCCTTTCTCTGCAGGGACAAGTGCACCAGGGACTTTGTCAACTAGTGGATCTGGGGGTATTTATGGATCTGGATCGGCTGGTTCTAGACTCACTCGCTCCTACACTGTCCCTCCTGGTGTGTTTTCTCATCTGCTTTAGCCACATAATCTATTGCTCTTGTAAGAAGAACTGCTAAACATATCGAATGTCAAAAATTAATGTTGACAAGACTAATTTCTGTGTATAAATCACAACAACAGAAGCAAAACTTTTATCTAGCATTAAAAAGTTGGTTTTGTTCACTTATGAGAGAAATGGATTGGTTTTTGCTGAAAATGGTTATGCGAGCTATTCAAAAAAACATTACAGCAAACAGAAGGTTTCTTGTTCCCGAACCATGAGACATTCCTGGCACAAACAAATACTTTCAGCAGCAAACCATATTCCCTGGCAGTTAAATTAAATTACTTTCTTTTTTTAAAAACTTTTTTGTGCTGACTTTAATAACTAAATAGGAGGCTGTTTTAATATTCAATAAAAGCTTAACCAATTGTAATAGTTTACATAACAAAAGTTGTTATAAAGTACCAGAGTATGCTATTTAGAGATGTTTTACTAGAAGTAACCTAAAGTTATATTGATTTATAAATTGAGCAGTAAAGTTCATGCATGGAATTGATGTGAATTATTTTTCTCTACTTTGAGTACTTTGAGCTGTTTCATTGACAAAAGCAAATGAATTTATAACATCTATAATATAAATAATTTTTTTAAATGTTATCCTTATGCTAGGTCTAAAGAGCATTGTTCATTTGATTAAAAATTAATAATATTATAGCATACAGTGTCAAATAAAGTTTAACAGTATGCAAATTTTATGCTTAGACATTTCAGATGAGCAGAATCAAAGTCAAAACAGTTGTAAGTTTGCAAAATAATTTGGGGAATTTTTTTAATTTGGGGGCAAAATTATTTTTATTCATTCACTTCAGTTTTTTCAAGATGTTTTATCTTATACCAGTTATACTAGTTAAACTTGATCTAATATTTGCATGATTTGAACATCAGTTTTCTACATTATGACAAAGAAGTCTTTGATTTCCATTCTTTACTTAAAAATAAATAATACGCCTCTTCAGTTTGTTAAAAATTGAAAAAAAATTGTTAAATTAGTAAAATATGCAATTACTATAAAACTGTATAACTTTCATTAACTAAATATCATGTAATTGTGTGTGATCTTTGTTTATTGATACAATATAGTTATTAATAAATAATCAACTTATATTTATTTAATTCCATAGTAATATTTACCTGCTTAAAAGCTTAGTATCAAGTCATAAAAAAATTTAATATCTAATGTTACATTTTTATCAATTAAGTTGCTATAATACTTAACATAGCTTAAAATTTTCTTCTCTTTTATTTAATTTAGCTAAATTGCTGTTATGTGTATAAAATCTTCTTTATAGTTAATTTAGTAATTTAGAGCCAAATTGCTGTTATGTGCATAAAGTCTCTATTTACTTCTTTGCATTTACATATGATTTTAAAATGCAGACTGCTTCTGTTTCCCTGTTAGCGACAAGCAATGTTCCATTGTCCAGCTCTGGGAACTCAGGCAGCCACAGTGCAGGCAACAGTCCAAATGGTGACTTCATTCCTAAATCTGTTAGCCTATCTGCCCAGAGCAAGATAGAGACTATTAAGGAATGGAGTGTAAACACTTTCAAAACTACAAAGCAGTTTATTTCTGAGAGATTTGGCAAAGGCTCAAGAACAGTAGATTTGGAGATGGAGACCAGTATAGAGGCCCTGAGAGACACGCAGAGAAAGTATGCAAACATCCTCAGGCTGGCAAGAGCCATGTCCTCACATTTCTATAATGTGGTCCAAACACAGAAAGCCCTCGGTGAGGGCTTCTCAGACTTGGCTCAGAAATCACCAGAGCTGCAGGAAGAATTTATTTACAACTGTGAGACGCAGAGAACGCTGGTCAAGAATGGGGAAATACTTTTAGGTGAGATTAAACCTTTGAGTAGTTTGTCAAAATGTGGTAGCTTTAGTTTATTATACTTATACAATCTTATCAATTTAATAATCTTGCTTCTTCAAGGCTCAATGATTTCTATATGGGCGTGATCTAAAATATAAAAAAATAGTTTCACTTAAAATAGGAATCGATGCACCTTTACTTGTTTCATTGAATAAAAGTTATCTGAACTCCTGGTTGGATGGATCCGCTAACATTACTTAATATAATCTTTTTGTGTTAGTTTGGACAAAGAAATTATTTATTTACACTTGGAAACCTTTTTCCATTACTTATTCCATCACATTTCAACAATGTGAACTGATAAAGCTCAATAATTACATTTATATTACATCACAGTTTTTGCATATAGAACATGCATTACATTATTATTGCATTCAATTTTTTGGAGAAATGACAAATAAAATCTAACTATGTGACCAAAGTGTAAGATCTAAAACAATCTAAAATAGCTGTAAACTAAAACAATCCAAATAGGTGTAAACTAAAACAATCTGAATAAGTGTAAACTAAAACAATCCCAAATAGGTGTAAACTTAAACAATCCGCATAAGGTGTAAATTAAAACAATACCTTATAGTTGTACACTAAAAAATTCCAAACAGTTGTAAATTAAAACAATCCAATATAGGTATAAATGAAACCAATCCTAATACAGTGAAACCCCCTTATCTCGACCTCGGTTAACTCGTCAACCCTCCTATATCGATGTTTTTGAAGTGGAACCGCCGAATTCTCTCTTTGTCTTAGCATTTTCTCCTTGGTTATGTCGATTCTTTTATGTCGCCGAACCCTGATATCTCGAGCACAAAAGGCGGCCAAATTTGCCACTTAGCCTCGGTTATCTCGATCCCCATGACCAATTGCTGGCTTTTGAACTCTGCAAGAAGAAATAGAAACAACAAATAAACAAGTTTTTCATAATTAAAAATAATTATTTATTTCTCAAAATACAGAACTTGTGTTTTAGAATGAACCTAGAAGTAATTTAAATAATTATGTTTTAATTCGAGATTTAAAACCCGGTAAAGACGATATTATAAATAATCATAATTTTCAGTGTGCAAACATTGTTATGGGCAGCAATTCACTGTCACTTGCATAATGGCTTTGCCGTAGTACAATGTCAGAGTTTCATTCATAAGAGTTTGCTGTGTGCAAAATCTTTTAAACCGTTGGTCAGGGAAAGCTTTAATTAAATAGTCATGTGCCAAAGTTGAAAGTTCAAAATAAGTAGTCCCTAAATAGTGTTTTAGTAATAAGGGGTTGCCTTGCCTTATATAAACTATATATTCATTGCACATGATGCGATCAGCGGGATGAGGTCACAAAATGTGGAGGCTTCATCCATAGTAGAAAATACCAAACGAACTCGCACTTTTGAGATTCGTAGCTCAAAAAGTACTTAAGTAAAAAAGTTATTCTGGTTTCCTTTTTTTTTTCAATTTGAAATTTGCTCTAAATAACTATAATTTATTTTTTTTTTTTTTTTTTTTTTTTTTTAACTTAATTATCTGCATTTATTTAATGCACATCATGTACATAAAGAAATTTCAAGCACATGTTAATATATTGCCGCCATATAGGTTTTTTTTTATCTCGATCATTGGTTATCTTGACTTTTTTTGACAAATCCAAGGCTGTCGACATAACCAGGTTCTACAGTAGGTGTAAACTGAAAAAATCCCAACTAGGTCTAAGCTAAAAGTACAATCCCAAACTTGTGTAAACTAATGTTATAAATATGTTTATACTTTGATGGTTTCTTTAAATTATTATATTTTTTTGTTAAATAAAATTAAAACAATAATTGAACAATATAAAATATACACCAAATTAGGAACCACACAAGTTCAAATAAAAATTGGAAATATTTTTGTTTTGTTTTTAACAAGAAGTGGCCAAAATATGGGGAAATGTATCCTTTATTTTTTTTTTTACCCAATTGCAGTCTAAACATATTCCCTCCCCCCTTTTTTAGTCTTATTTTCCTTAAATGTGTCACATACTTTTTTTCATATTATGTCACCCTACATAGATAGATATAGAAAAAAACTAATTCATGAATTTTAATGTGTTTGAATTTATTATTTTTTTTGTTCTGTCCAAGGTGCATTAAATTTCTTCATCTCATCAGTCAACACATTATGTCATAAGACTATGGAGGACACTCTACTGACTGTGAAAAACTATGAAACAGCAAGGTGGGGGTAGAGTCTGTCTTTTAAATATGGCATAAAGAAAAAACAGTTTTCTAGAAGATGAATAGATGTATGGATGTTTTTTTTAAATATATGGTTATTCTGAATATGAATTTTATGATGACAATAAACTACAATTTTTACTCAAAAATTGTATTTCTAATCTTGGCAGATTAGAATATGATGCATACAGATCTGACTTCGAGAGTCTAGAAACTGGTCCCAGGGAGGCTGCCACACAGGTGAAGCTGCAGGATGCCAAGAGGAAGTTTGAGGAGCACAAAGTCAAGTTTGATAGGTTACGAAGTGATGTTCAAATCAAATTGAAGTTTCTTGATGAGAACAGGGTGAGTTTTGGTCAGTGCTTGTTTCAGAAATTTGTGATATAGCAAAAATCTGTTTTGGAATTAAAGGAGGAAAAAAATTCAAAAAATGTTATTAAATGAAATACAAGGTACATACAAGTTTTTGGAAAGAGCAGTGTAATACATTTCCCAATTCTTCCTTTTAAAAATGCTAGGTTTTTACTTAAACCCATCTGCTGAGCTCATAATTTTGTTCAAATCGTAATTAGAAAGTTTTGTGTCAGTGAATATTAGTGCAACAAAATTAAGGAATTTACAAGATAATGATTTAATATCTCTCTGCTGAGTCATTGGCTTTCATGGGTTGTTTGTGTTCATGTGTCATTGGCTTACATGAGTCAGTAGCTTTCATGAGTCCTTAGCCTTCATGGGTCATTGATTTTCATGAGTAGCTTTTAATAGTCCTTAGCTTTCATCATTCATACCTTTCATGAGTCTTTAGCTTTTATGAGTCATTGGCTTTAATGAGTCCTTAGCTTTCATCATTCATGCCTTTCATGAGTCCTAAGCTTTCATGAGTCATTGGCTTTCAAGAGTCCTTAGCTTTTATGAGTCATTGGCTTTCATGAGTCATTGGCTTTCATGAGTCATTGGCTTTCATGAGTCTTTAGCTTTCATGAGTCCTTGGCTTTCATGAGCCCTTGGCTTTCATGAGTCATTGGATTTCATGAGTCCTTCACTTTCATGAGTCATTGGCTTTCATGAGTCATTGGCTTTCATGAGTCATTGGTTTTCATGAGTCATTCGCTTTCATGAGTCATTGGCTTTCACGAGTCTTTAGCTTTCATGAGTCATTGGCTTTCATGAGTCATTGGCTTTCATGAGTCATTGGCTTTCATGAGTCATTGGTTTCATGAGTCATTCTCTTTCATGAGTCATTGGCTTTCATGAGTCATTGGCTTTCATGAGTCTTTAGCTTTCATGAGTCATTGGCCTTCATGAGTTTTTAGCTTTCATGAGTCATTGGCTTTCATGAGTCTTTAGCTTTCATGAGTCATTGGCTTTCATGAGTCTTTAGCTTTCATGAGTTTTTAGCTTTCATGGGTCATTGATTTTCATGAGTAGCTTTTAATAGTCCTTAGCTTTCATCATTCATACCTTTCATGAGTCTTTAGCTTTTATGAGTCATCGGCTTTAATGAGTCCTTAGCTTTCATCATTCATGTCTTTCATGAGTCCTAAGCTTTCATGAGTCATTGGCTTTCAAGAGTCCTTAGCTTTTATGAGTCATTGGCTTTCATGAGTCTTTAGCTTTCATGAGTCATTGGTTTTCATGAGTCATTCTCTTTCATGAGTCATTGGCTTTCATGAGTCATTGGCTTTCATGAATCTTTAGCTTTCATGAGTCATTTGTTTTCATGAGTCATTCGCTTTCATGAGTCATTGGCTTTCATGGGTCATTTGCTTTCTGTCGGTAGATGCCAGTTTTTGTAGTGTACAAAAGGTTAATACGAAACAATATTTGCTACCAGTTTATCCTAGTGAATTTTTTATATTCAGCTAAAGCCATCCATGACAACACAGTGAACTATTTGATCTAAAATTACATAGAGAATCTGATGTATTTTAGTGCTAGGTAGCACATAAAATTTGTGTGTATTAAAAAAAATATTTATTATTCAAGAAAAAAGTCATTGCCTCACATAGCAATATAATGGCAGAAATCTAAAACTCTTTGGTTATTATTTGAGTATACTCAACCTTCTGGACAGTTCTTTGTGACAAGTAAAAACTCTCACAAATAGAATTCAACCTATTTTCTTTTTTTGACAGATTAAGGTAATGCATAAGCAGCTACTCCTGTTCCACAACGCAATATCTGCCTACTTTAGTGGCAATGCATCAGCATTGGAGGCCACTTTGAAGCAATTCAATATACAGTTAAAGCGACCCAATGCAGAAAAGCCATCATGGATAGAATCCTAGAAATTAATGATTTATTGGTGACCAAGGGTTTTTTTTTTGTTGTTTTTTTACCATTGACTTTTATTGATGTGAGGTAGGTTGGGATGTGACAGATAACCAAAATCTCAAATGTAAATATGCGCCATTTTGATATAAATTGTACATTTTATCATTTTGTGGAGATTTTGAGGAATGCTACTTTGATTGCAGGTAATGATTGTGGGCGGTAATTAAGCCAGCTGTTAATATTTTGTTATATTATCCTTTAAAGCATGTGAAGTGTAACAGTTTTTTTGCTTGATTTCTTTCAGAGCTTGATATGTTAAAATGGATTAAAGTTGCAAAAAAAACATGTTAATAAGAACTGAGGGGCCATCCGTTTATTACTTGACACAATACAATTTCATAGCCTGCCCCCATGTTTCAGACCTGGTGCACCGTCGCCCCTTCTCCCCACCTACCAATTGAGAACATACAACAAATGAGGACAACTGCCAGCATCACCCACCAAAAAATGATCTCTATTTAAGACTAGCTTGTACATTAGCACTTGTAAGCATTTAAAAAACAATAAATTAATCTTGTAAAAAAAAATCTCCCTATTCCTCCTCAAAATCTCCCTGTTCATCGTCAAAATCTTGTTTTAGTTGCATATAATTTATATTTAATTGAAAACAAAATTATATTTTATATATTATATTACACACTCCGATAAAATAGGTTGTTTAACATACATTTAAATGACGACCACCCCCCCCCCCCCGTAAAAAAAGGTTTTTTAAAAAACATTTAAAGGACCCCCCCCCCCCCCCCCCAACCCTTATTGACAAAACTTGCAAATCCTACCACCACCAACCTGTGCCAAGTGTGCTAATATATGGATGGCCCCTCAGCAATCAATTCATTGTACTTGGGGTTCACTCAATGAAAATAACATTGTTATCAAAATATAAATGAAAAAAAATCAGGCAGTTTTTAATAAAAAAATCAATGGTTGAAAATGCATGTTGTGCCAGAATATTTTAAAAAATAAACGGAACAGACAAGGACTGGCTGTGTTCATTCAAATTAACTAACATTCCTATTTTCATACAGGTTATTCAAGTCTAACTTTTGAGATTGTGCTCCACCGTGTACCTTTAGCACTTATGTCTAATCTTGTAAAGGAAAGTTGTTAGGTGTTGACATTTTTTTAAGTTGATATTTTGCTGACGTTGGCTCGAGTCAAAGAAAAATTTTTACACCTAGAACCCACAAGTTTACCGTGGTGGTTTTTAAATATAGCTTATTAGAACTTGTGTGATTGTTTTTAGATGGATTTGATCTAGAAAATTTCATGATTAGCCATTTAGTAATCGATAACAGTAAAGCTATTGTTAAGACAAAAGTATTCACTGCAATAACTTTTGAACAATAAATTCCTAATGAAAAATATGAACATCACAAAATTTTACTGGCATAAAAGCATAGGTATTCAGCGGTGGGACCATAACCTTTCAAAACTATCTTATAAAAATTCTTATCACATAATTTGAACTGAATTTGGAATGAATTATTTATGATAATAGGCAAGTGAATACTCATTTGTTTATTTGTTTTTTTTAGCCATCACCTAATTTAGAAAGCTTGTTAACTGGAGTTTGCTGATATTACAGTATATATGAAGCATCTCTCAATTGAGTCGCTATGTTTTCTGTTATAGGAAACTTATATAAAATTTAACTGAAAATATCTTTGCTATTATTTTCACAAGTGTTAAAACTTGAACTTAGCTTGTTTTTTTTGTTTTTGTTTTTTTTTTTCAAGTTGTAATCTGTATTGATAAGCATGATTTGGTTTCATGTATTATTCAAAATGTAAAGATATGTGTCTAAACTCCATGTTATTTAGCTTTTGGGGAAAATATCCTGTTTGAATTCAATATTTGTGGACATGATAATATCCTTGGGTGGGAGTAACTATACATGGGGCTGATTTGATTTGTGAAATCCTGTTGAAAATGTGTAATTTGCCTAATACATATTTCCTTTGAGGGATTTTAACATGAATAATATATTGATTAAAGCCATATATTTAAATTACCCAGCTACTGGTCAAATTTTTTGAGACATAAGTCATATCAGAATTATCTCACTGCTGCAATAATTACGATAACAAAGTACAATTGTGTAAAAAACATTATTTTTTAAAAAATTAAGCAATGCTCACTAGTTTTGGTATGCATTTCTCACTTTTGTTGTGTTTGTATGTGCTCAGTGTGACTAGCAGCCGGTGCCTTCGGCCCAGCTTTCTCTTAAAACTTTTTTTTTTACCTTTACATGCAAAGAATTCTGAAATTTTTTTGAAGAAAAATAAAAAATATAAAGGTATTAATATTTTTTGTGAGAAATGTTGTTTTTCTGATTCTTTTTGTCTTCCGTTGCAGCCCACTTCTTCCTTAGTGCCACTTTGATGCAGAATAAATATTCTTTGTTTCAATGTTACTACTTTTTAGCCTGATTTTAAGTACTGAAGCATGCTCTGAGTTCACAATTTATTGTGAAAACTATTATAAAATCTCCCTTCAGTGGTGGGGGAACTACCTAAGAAAATAATATACCCCATCTTCTCCTCATTATAAAATAACCGCTGGCCATTTCATGTATGTGATGGTTCTGTTTAAGTAACTACTCAGCTTTTGGAACTGCCAGATGGGGTAGTCTTTGATTTGAACCACCAAGTGAAACCCTTAGGTGTGGTGGCTAACAGAAAGGTGTACCTCTTAAACCTAACAGTCCAACTTTGGCAACTGCTAGGGGAATTGAGAACTTCTGAAATGAAGATGTCAATCCCTTGATCTAAAAAAAATCACACACACAGAAATAACTATTTAATGTGGTACCTTCTTTTTATTCAGTAATGAATCAATGCACATGAATTTTTCCATGTTTGTACATTTTCTTCATTTGACATACAGAATGGAATTTTCTGTTGAGAATTCAGATATGACTGGCAAATATGACAACTATGTTTTAGCATTTTTCTAGTTTTTATTTTTCAGAGTTTATAGAAATGGTCTCTGTTGTTATATGAAAGGTGGTCTGGTGTGTATTGGAGATATGTGTTGTGATAACACATAGCAAAAAACAGAAGTAGCGGAAATCAAATAGAAGCACGTTCACTGGAATAACTAGGTAAATGCTCCCACAGCAACCACCAAAATGGCGGTCCTTTAAAACCATGGGTTATCGATTTTTTTTTTTAAATTTCCAATTTTGCGCCCCTTCTTATACTCAGCAATTCCTTCGCAATGCCACCGAGTACTGTGTACTTAAACAAATAAATAATTTTCCAGAGGATTCAGATGTTCTATTGGTAGGTGCCTTTTTTTAAACACCTAAATATACATAGTGTGTGAGCTGTGTTACAGTCCGCTTCCCATGCAACAGTTTTTTTTTAATAATCAAGTAATGCAGGGCCCACCACCACATTTTTTGTAATTTTCTAATATTGAAATTGAGTGGAATTCTTCAATCTTTTACCCCCCCCCCCCCCNCCCCCCCCCCCCCCCCCCCAAAATATAAAATTTTTGTATTTTATTAATGATGTATGGCTGTACATCGCCATGAGTTGATCTTTTAGCTAAATCACTAAAGGCCCACAAGTTGAGGACCACTGAGCTAGTGGCATCAGTCAGTGTATCACCCAGTCCTTGAATGATGTGAGAGGCAGCTGTGCTTACTATCTGTATCAATAACAACATAGTGAAAGCTTGTTTGCCCTGTTCACTTGACATGGTTGTGATTTTTTTTATAAATATTGCTCCCTTGTAACACAAACATTCTCTTTGGAAGGATCCCTTTTAGTTAAAAAGCTACCAAAGCATTCTCCTTCAGAGGCTATAATTTGCATGAATGGCCTGAAAGCTAGATTAGAATTTTTATGCAGAAGGATTTAGCATTGCATTTTTTTTTCCTTATTAATAACTGAATATGTCCAGGGCGATGATATATTTTCTTAATTTATCCTTCTTACATTTATTTTTTAATTTTTACAAAATTATTTAGAAAAATATATTTAGAAAGTGAAATTGTATAACAATAGTAAGATTTCAAAATGTTGAATAGTGCTAGTACAAGCCAGTTTTTTTTATAGTTTTTTTGTTGGTTTAATTTAATAAATAAAACTGGATGCCACTATAAGTTAAATAGTGATTAGCTTATTAGATTTTAAAAAAAATTATTGTTATTTTAGTCAGAAATGGCTTCCTACTGCTGTATGAGCCTGCTAGACAAGCTGCTCAATTAACAACTGTCTGCATCATATGTAATTTGATAATAATCACATGCATTGGCAATCTGTAGAACTTGCTTGTTGTATCTGCAAGTAGTTTCATCTTGGCTATGTTGTATATTTAAATTTGGGACACATTTTTTAGTCAGATTGCTTCATGTTAGAATTGTGCTGTTACGCACTATTTAAGGCAGCTTTATTAATTAGTTGAAAAGTTAGGGTTTTTTTTGTTTTTGTTTTTTTTAGTGTTAAAAACTTCTAGTCGTGGCGAATACCATCTTCGTGTGTATTTAAATGACACTTACCAGAAGATTCTGGATTTTATTACTGCTGTGGTAACTTCACTCTTAGATATTTATATGTTAGCATTTTTGTTCAATCCCATGAGGGTGAAGGCATTATACTTTGTGTTTACTGCCTCCCGCAGGAGGACAGCCTCACTTCACTTGGCCTTTGTGTCCATTCCAATGGAGACCCTCTAACTTATGAATTCCAAAAGCCACCTCTTTGGTCGAGAGTGTGAGGCCACACCTTGTGCCAAAGGGCAGACATTTCAATTGACAAATGGGCAACTTTTGTTCCTTCAAGCTGGTTACCTCAATGATAAGAGTTGCGTTGGATAGTCTCTATTAAAATGGTTAATTTAATTGGTGATTTTGGTCGTATTTTGAGACGCCAGTGACGGCCATGTTTTCTTGCTGGTTAGCTGTGCAGCTCTTATCAGTGAAGACCAAGTATCACAGTTGATCCCTTTCAAAATGTCTCGACTCGCACACAAAAAAATCCCAATTGTTTAACTACTCAACTGCGAAAACCTGTTTCGTTACTTGAAGAACCGATAGAGAGACTTGCACATTTTGTGTTAAAGGAAAATTGTTACTTAAATTTTAAAATTTTTAATCGATGGGCGATTATGTTATTTTTTTTTGGTTATAAAAAAAAACAACTAGATACTTGTAAAACATAAATCCTGTTAAAATGCATTTTTCGGTGTGGAAGCTTTGTCGAAATAAGTGGTTAACTTTTTTTTTTTTGTTCTTTTCAATCAGGGGAAATTAACTAAGCATAATATTCTTGAACTGCTTCCCCCCTGACTTTCGTGCAATACTGTCAACAAATAATTAGCTTGGACCTCCCCCCTGAAGAATGAGCGTAAAGCAATCGATATTTTCACTTAAAATTTTTGTTGTTTTTCCACCTGCTACTCATGTGAAGAATATTATCCATGTAAATCTTTTTTTTTTTTTTTTTTTTTTAAATTTTGTGGGGGCTGTGAAGCTAACGGTTTTGTATTAACGGTAGCTTCTTCAATTTCACAAAATATGATTGGCTAATCTGCTTTTCATTCCTCCAAGGCATAAACAATATGTGTATAAATTTGTTTTAATATATATATATATATATATGTTTGGTTATGCTTTTATTGTATTATTTGTATGCTTCTCTTTTGTTGCTGCTCCAAAGTATGATGTATATTTTACCGTTATAGTAATAGTTGACTAGTCAATGTCTTTCTAGCGCATTGCTTGCGTACACCGCCAGATTCTATACAGATATAAATGATAGAATAGATTCTTTTTAAGAAAGCTTTTTCAAATCTGTAATATGATCACACAAAAAAAAAGTTAATGCAGTGCCCTTAAATACGGAAAATTGTTCTACCATAAAAAATGTTCTTTTCAGTGTAGTGTTATCAAACCTGTGTCCCTGTGAATAAAAGTAATGGGGTTAAAAACGACAAGTTAAAAGTTCATCTGGGACTGAAGCGAAAATACTAAATAAGAGATTACCTTTTGTAATTGACAAAACCATGTGTTGTTGACACCGATAACTTCTGATAGACTTTCCTAATGAGTTAGTTGCAGTATCTTGGATTACAAACAAAAGGAAATAGTGTGTGAGGTCGTCCCCCCCCCCCCACACACACACACACACACCTTTTCATTTTTGTAAGGTCCCACAACCAGCATTTGTGTTGCTCTCTGAATTCCCCCCACCCAAAAAAAAAAAATTAAGGGTTTTCAGTAGTAGTAGTCTTTAGTAGTCTTGCTGTTGGTTTAACTTTAGGCATATCATTTCTGAAACCAAATCAGATTATTTGAAACGGAGCAGTAGCCACAGGGCAGTAGCCACAGGGCATTGTAAGGGGTGGTGTTGTTTTTATTTTTTTTCATGGGTCATATTGAAGTTGGGTGATTGTGTTTATAGCAGTGAAACTAAACTGTACGGGAGGAAAGGGGGGGGGTGATTGTGTCTATACCAGCCTAACTGAACTTTACCAGGGGGGGTGATTGTGTTAATGCCAGCTTAATTAAACTTTGCCAGTGGGTTACTGTGTTTATACCAGCATAATTAAACTTTCACCAGGGTTGACAACTACTAATGTTGCAAAAAAAATGTTCACATATT